CTACAACAATGTACTTTTCACTGTTTAGTGATAAAAAAGTAAAAAAAAAGAGGGTTATTTTAACAAAACAAAACAGTAGCTTATGTAACCAGATATGCTTGCCTAAACAAACAAAAAATGTTTTAAGAAACTGCCAGAAGGAATGTAGTGAAGGTGCCTGCTCCATATCATCTCAAGGTGGATCAGTGTGTTTATCCAAAGTGCCAGATCCAACGGAGGAGGCAGAATATATCCATTGGTGTTACCAGTCATCGTTATACTTATGCTCCATGCTCAGCACAGAAGTGGCAAAACTGTCTCCTTAGATATTTCATCCCAGGGTGATATGATGACGAATGCAGAACAAGTGGAATGGAGTCAAGTCAAACAAGACTGTCAAATGAGCTGGTCAAAATAAGTCCATGTTCCACTTAAGGAAGCTTTGTATTCTCGATATTTTGGTAGCTAAAAGGCTTTTCTTGCATTCTGAACTAGGACTCCGTGTTCATCAATAAGCAAATTAGTCATCAGCTTCATGGAGCCATATAATGAATGCAAGGTTATGACATATGTTTAAGTGTTGGGTTGGGTCCTTTAAACCTCGCTCTCATTAGATTATCCAAGGTGGAGTCCATACATGGTGAACACATCAGAACTGCTGACATAATGTCTTTGGTATAGTGTCACAGCTACTTGTCCTCTAAAAGTGTGTAAAAGCATCTATGGATGCGGGGGGGGGGGGGATCCAGGTGTTATTGGATTTCAACCCCAGCCAGCATAGCCAATGGTCAGAAATGATGGGAAACTGTAGTTTAGCAACGTCAGGAGGACCACAGGTTCACCCATACTTGAATTAGGGTTTGAGCCCATATGGAACAGATGGGAACCCTGTGGAGTCCTCAAGATGTTGCACTCCCATCAACCTCAGCCAGTATAGCCAATAGTCAGGGATGGTATATGTAGGGTTATGTAGTTCCATGAAGTTATTGAACCCAGATCCCATCAGCCCAAGTCAATATAGGCCAATGGTGAAGGATGAGGGGAGTCATAGTACAGCAACATCAAGAGGGCCACTGTTTCATCAATTATGTCCTGCTTTGGCAATCAGTGGGTCTCCAGGATCTCAGGCAAATGTCTTCCCCACCATTTCCTTCCTGAAAGATCCTTTTAAGGTGTAACCTTCAACTGCAGAATCGTTGAAGTTGACAACCTCTAATAACATCCCCCTGGAGATACTGAGATCAAACACTTAGCTTCCTACATGAGCAGTGCATACTCACTCACAATGAGCTGTATCCTCTCCCACCAGGACAAATGGAGCAATCACAAGTTAATCCCTGTGATTGGCTTTTGGCAGTTGGCAAAGGTGCTGTACCATTTAGTTGCACCATTTCCTGCTCCGTGATTGAACTCAGCCTTCTCCTTGTGAGGTCTTGGTGAGAACATCAAGCACAGAGGGGGAGGTTACAGAGAACCACAAGATAAGAAGGGACAACCCATGGACTGCCTCTGTGTTTGTTGTAAATCGCAGACATAGAGCTGTATATCCATAGTGTTTGGGAATGTCACTGTGATGCAGGGAGTGTTGCCATATTATAGAGGATTATTGGCGGAGATCATTGCTATCATAATGTCACATATAGGGATGAATTCCAGGAGGGGAGTTATGGCTTAATTGGTTGACTCCCAAATTGAAGTCCAAAGGAATCTGGCAGCAGGTGATGTGGAAATGCCATCCTTTGCCTGGACCCACTGCTAGTCAGAGTAGACAACACTGAGCTAGATGGTATATTGGTCAATGCAGTAGCAGAACATCTTTCTTGCATGCATACATTTCCAGGTTCTATTCATGACAAACCTTGAGGAAGGCACTTTTTCACACACCCAACCTGACGTGACCTGACTTAATTTGTCTAATTCTTTCCTGTACGTTCTGGTCATCATCCATTAACTGAGGGCCTCTTAGCCAATTAATCCTCCTCCTTTTTAAATATAATCAAATATCCTTAATCCTTCTCTGAATTATATTTACAGTGGTATCTCGGGTTACAGACGCTTCAGGTTACAGATGCTTCAGGTTACAGACTCCGCTAACCCAGAAATAGTACCTCGGGTTAAGAACTTTGCTTCAGGATGAGAACAGAAATCGTGTGGCGGCAGCGGGAGGCCCCATTAGCTAAAGTGGTACCTCAGGTTAAGAACAGTTTCAGGTTAAGAACGGACCTCCAGAACGAATTAAGTTCTTAACCTGAGGTACCACTGTATCTGGCTTGCTTAGCAAACTTGCCAGTAATCATTAAAGCTTGTTCTGCAACAGGTTTTTTTAGGGGGTGGGTGGGGTGGGAGGGATCATTCCTTCAAATACAATATTTCCCCCAACTTTCATTTTGAGAGAAATCATGGTGAGGGGCTTGAATGATTGGGGAGAGTAATCAACAATTATCATTCAATAGACTGCAACCTCAGTCTGGGGGGGGGGAAGCTTTTTGTGGGGGTGTTCTTTTGTCCTAGTCAAATATATGCTAGGTCAAAATATTTCCTGCACACAATTTAGATAAAACATTTGCTAAAATAAAAAAATATGTATAATCACAGCAGACCAGCATTACATAGGACCAAGCTGTATTGACAGTTTTGTGTGAATATTTTCAGCTTAGCTAGGGTTGTCATATGTCTGGATTTTCCTGGACATATAAGTGATTTCCACCCAGATGCTGTTTCCAATAGCCAAATCCTGCATGTGTCTGGAAAATGGCACCCCTACGAAAAAAGCCAAAGGTTGTGTTGCGTCCACTCAAAATGATTCAGTCAGCTGTGAATATTCCCAACTGTAATGGAAGCAGCCTTTGTTTTCAATGATCCTTTTTAAAACAAAAACAAAAACAAAAAACCTCTGCCGGTAAATCCTGATGCTCTGCCAAATATTTCTTGTTTTTATTTTTCCCAAACATTTTCCATCAGTTAATTAGCTGCTTGGAGAACCACTCTCCTTCTTACCCATACTGTGTGTCCCCCCCCCCCCCCCGGCAACCAAATAAATCAGAAGTCAATGGAATGGCGTTAAGCTAACATACAAAACAACTTCTGTATGCATTTTGTGGATATCCATTTTGTACAGGAAGAACTACCGTATTTTTCCATGTATGAGACGCCCCCATGTATAAGACGCCCCCTATTTTGGGGGACTAAATTTAAAGAAAATGAGGGGAGATTGCCCAAAGTTGCTGAGCTTTTTTAAAGGGGAAATGGCACGCATGCCATCACCCCAGCAGGGCCATTGCCAGGGGTTGGCAAAGGGAGCAGCCATTTCCCTCACGCCACTCTCTGTGTATAGGACGACCCCAGTTTTTTGACATGATTTTTGAGTCAAAAAACCTCGTCTATGGTATTTTGAAGGTCCTCTTGAGACACACACCTACAAATTCCGTCAGATTGGCCTTGATTACCCTCACTGACTACACTATATTTATTTCAATGGGTCTACTCTAAGACTTAATTGGAGGTGTTGTATATGTACCACTACACAGCGGAATACCAGACTGTCAGTGACCCAACACAAATACTTTCATTGGAATATTAACCAGACATCTAGGTTTTATTTATTTATCCAATTAGTGTCATGAAATTTAAAAGACCCATAGGGTGATCATATATATTTATATATATACAAACCACATTGTGTTGAGCTGGAGGAAAACTAATTCTCACTGCCAGGGAAGGTCATTCCCTTGCTTACGACTGCTAATCACTAACAGGGAGGGTGGCTGTTTAAAATAAATTAATGTTTCCCATAAGAAAACAAATTAAGAAATTCACAGTCAGTGTGTCTCCTCTGCTCTAGGCTATGGAGCTGAGCATATAAAAAGCTCATCCTTTGGGGAGTTTTTCAGATCAACCATCTGCTAAAACTTCTCCCTTCAAGAACTGGTAAGTTCCAGGGGGTTTATATGGAAGGGCATCATAGAGAAAAACTCTATGAATCTTAAGAATGATGATATCTTATTGACTTAAGGGTGGACTTTTTGGTTTTGCTGCTGTTCTGGGATTATGGGAGCTGTAGAATGGATGGTTCATGATACAAAAAAGTAACCCAAAGCTGAGGTTTATTCCTTTACTCAAAAAAAGTACTAGTCAAGATGCAGCCAAGATGAATGTAAGATATAGCCAAGGTGAAAACTGCCTACAATTTCTCAAAGGTTTTCTTCCCTCTGTATGTTGTGGACCCAACTGTTATTTCTCTGTCCATTTGCTATGGCAACTGGGACTGATCGCAATCAGAGCCTAAAACATCTGGAAGGAACCATGTCTATGGCTGTAGGATGAGGTGAGGACATAGGAAGGTGAAAGAATTGGCAGTACCGTTCCTGGGTGCAAGTAGGGCATGCAATTATTGAATGCCCCTGTGTGTAAAACAACAGCAGCAACCTCTTGCAGGTGGAATATTAGAACCAAAGGGAGAAAGAAGGGCAACTTTCCCCTTGATGTACTAATGTTCTGCTTGCTTAAGGTTTTCCCACAAAAATGGTACCTCCAACAGAAGTGAGGAGTGTATTCTACCATCTCAGCTTTCTACTATGTGTAGCTATATTATATGCTTGCTACTAAATGAAAGAGTAATCACTCGAGATGCTATCATGCTGAAACATATGGTCTTACCATATACAGTACTGTGTCACCTCCTTACTCCATCTATCTCAGCATTTTCTTCACTAGGAATTGAGATGGTGTGATCCTCCAGGCGTAGTTTGACTCCATTCCCATCAGTCCCTAGAGGCATGACTAATAGTAAGGGATGATGGGAATTGTGATTCAGCAGCATCTAGAAGGCCCCAAATTGGCTACCTGTATTGTAGCCCTTATACAGTATAGTTGAGGTGGCAACTGACAGCGGGTACACCACATGCGGACATTGGAGTTTCCCCATCCAGTCCATGGGACAATGAAATTTTCAAATACTTAAGACAATGGTTTGATTATAGTTCCAATCCTATGCTTTCAGATTACCCTCCAGTCCTGCAAAGATGGCCAATAGGAATGCTGCTGGACATAATGAGTGCTATGCCCAGTGTCCTGCATCAACAGTGACCATCCAGCCACCACCTTTCATCCTGAATATTCCAGGGCCTGCTCTCTACTGCCCAGACCAGCCTCTGGCCATTGAGCAGTCCAACCCCTGTGTTGGTGCCGGTGGCGGCTACGGCGGTGGCAACCATTCTCTGTATGCTACTGGTGGCTCCAACCTCTGCCACCTCTACTCTCGGGCCCTGCCAAGCAGCAACTACAGCTACTGCTGCTATCGGTATTAATAATCGTGGGAAGATGAGGATGAAGCAAGAAGACAAACTACTGATCCATAACTGTCATCGTTCGCTGAATGGCTGAGCATCCATAGTAGCCATGTGGCTTAAGGTTTCAAGTGAGGATGCTCAAAACCCTCTGCACTTCAGTCGCATCCCAAAGCTTTCTGACGCTGCACTTTTGTGTCATGTTCATGCCTACTTCTCCGTGTATGTTGACAAGTCAACGGTGCTTACATCGTTTTCCATGTATTCACCCAATGCCTAATGGTTATTTACAGTTAGAAAACGGGGCTGAGATAGTCCAGTTGGGATATACCATTTGCTATTGGACTTTAAGCTTCGTTTTGGGAGATTTCCATGGGGAAAGCTGTTTGTGTTCAGGAATGCCGTCTGAATTTCAAATCTCCCCTTAAGATTTGAATGTGTTACTTCTTGCCTTTGCTCATATTAAAATGTTATTAATATGGCATCTCAACAATGTCTTGAGTCCTTTCAATTCACTACTAGTAAATTTACCATTGTGATGGGTACGTGTTGAGGAAGGGCTTTTATACTGCAACAAATCTAGTCACATCCACACCATACATTGGTGGCACCCTCATCTGTCTTATTTATTTATTTATTCATACCCCGCCCATCTGGCTGGATTTCCCCAGCCACTCTGGGCGGCTTCCAACACAATATTAAAATACAATAGTTCTTCAGATATTAAAAGCTTCCCTAAACAGGGCTGCCTTCAGATGTCATCTAAAAGTCTGGTAGTTGTTTTTCCTTTGACATCTGGTGGGAGGGTGTTCCACAGGGCAGGTGCCACTACCGAGAAGGCCCTCTGCCTGGTTCCCTGTAACTTCGCTTCTCGCAGTGAGGGAACCACCAGAAGGCCCTCGGTGCTGGATCTCAGTGTCCAGGCTGAACGATGGGGGTGGAGACGCTCCTTCAGGTCTACTGGGCCGAGGCTGTTTAGGGCTTTAAAGGTCAGCACCAACACTTTGAATTGTGCTCAGAAACGTACTGGGAGCAAACGTCTTTCAGGACTGGTGTTATGCGGTCTTGGCAGTCGTTTCCTGTCACCAGTCTAGCTGCCACATTCTGGATTAGCTGTAGTTTCCGGGTCACCTTCAAAGGTAGCCCCACCAGTAGTAACACACTTGTGGCTTCCCAAAAGAATCCCTGGAATTCAAGTTAGTTAAGGGTACTGACCTTACAGACCTACGATCCTGATACTTTTAAAAAAGCGCTTTTCAATGATCATCCATCACTGTCGAAGTGGGGAGGGGAACACAGCAAGCTGCACTGATACACCTAGCATAGGATTTTCAGCACTTAACTGTATTACTTCTGGAGGGTCTCCGGAGCAGAGAGAGGACTTTCCCATAACATGCTATCCCTGGAGATGCCAGAGCCAGAGCCAGGGATATTCTGTATGTATAGAACTTTCTCTACCATTACATAGAAACTGCCTTAACCATAGTCAATACACTGGTCCATCTAGTTCCACACTGATTGGCAATGGCTCTCCAAGGTTTTGGACAAGAGTCCCTCTTAGCCCTACCTAGCTATGTTGGGTTTGGAACGTTGAACCTTTCACATGTAGAACATATGCTGTACCACTGAATGATCCCCCCACCCAAGAAATGAAAGAATGCTGTCTTAAACCAACCCAGTCTTAGTATTGTCAACAATGAATTGAAGGATGACTGAAAGAGCTCTTCAGGGTTTCAGACAAGACTTTGCAGGACTTACCTGAAAATAACCTGAACTGAACCTTGTGATCATTTCCTTGCAAAGCATATGCTCTACTACTGTGCCATGTCCTTCAGTTGGATTGGAAATTCAGTTATCCATGCATAGAGTATACTCCATGATGAATCTATGACATTGAGCTGTAGTTCATCATTGTTCTTGAACTCCAAGTCCCACTAGCCAAACCCAACCTGGACAATGGTCAGGGATGAGAGGAGTTGTAGTATAGCAACATCCAGAGGACCACTGGTTCTGTGTCCCTATTTTACTCAGAAAACCAGGGAGTCTCCAGGGTCTGACAAATGTCTTTTCCAGCATTTCATTCCTGAAAGATCCTTCAACATTGCAATTTATAACTGGTTAATGTGTAGTATAAAACCTCTGGTAAAGCCTGAATACTCAAGTTTCTGCATGCACAGCACTTACTCAGCCATACTCAATACCCTATATGTCCTTCCCCACTAGAACAGAGTCACTCCAGTATAATTCTTGTGATTGGCATTTGGCTACAGGGCCAAGCCACTTAGTTGCACCATTTTCTGCTTTGTGACTGACCCCTGAACTCCACCTTCTTCTTTTGAGGTCTTTGGTGAGAAGCAGGAAGGGGGCAGTTTCAGATATCGAGGGACAACCCATGGACTGTTTCTGTGTTTGCTGCTAATTGCAGACAGAACTGTATATCCACTTTGTTGGGAATTTGTAGGTAGTGTTGTTATCTTTTTAAAAGGTGTGGATTATTAACAATGGTCATTGCTATCATAATGGATAAATTCCAAGAGAGAAGTCATGGCTTAGTTGGGTGACTCTCCGACTGAAGTCTAAAGAAATCTGGAAGCAGGTGATGTGGAAATACCACACTCTGCCTGGACCCTGGGCAACTCGGGTTAAGAACTTAATTTGTTCTGGAGGTCCATTCTTAACCTGAAACTGTTCTTAACCTGAGGTACCACTTTAGCTAATGGGGCCTCCAGCTGCCGCCGCACCATTTCTGTTCTCATCCTGAAGTAAAGTTCTTAACCCAAGGTACTATTTTTGGGTTAGTGGAGTCTGTAACCTGAAGTGTCTGTAACCCAAAGTACCACTGTATACATTCCACTCTGCAGCAGAAATCCACATTGCCAGTGACCCCACACCAAGGCTTACTGGAGCCAAGTTACAGGGAACCAGGCAGAGGGCCTTCTCGGTAGTGGTACCCGCCCTGTAGAACACTCTCCCACCAGATGTCAAAGAGAAAAACAACTACCAGACTTTTAGAAGACATCTGAAGGCAGCCCTGTTTAGGGAAGTTTTTAATGTTTAATAAACTATTGTATTTTAATATTCTGTTGGAAGCTGCCCAGAGTGGCTGGGGAAACCCAGCCAGATGTGTGAGGTATAAATAAATTATTATTATTATTATTATTATTATTATTATTAACTGGACACCTAAGAAAAATATCAACTAGAGTTGTAAAATCTAAAGGATTCATAGGGTGTAACATATATACAAACCATATTGTGTTGAGCTGGGAAGAAACTAATTCTCACAACCTGGGAGGGTCATTCCCATCTCCCTTACTAGTTGATAAGTAATCAGCAACTGGGAAGGTGACTGTTTACACCAAACTAAGGTGTCTCCCATTAGACAACAGATTGGGAAATTCTTAGTTCTTGTTTCTCATTTCCTCCAGGCTGTGGAGCTGAGCAGATTGTTGCACTACATCTCAATCTTCAAGTGGTGAGAAACTCCAGGGGTTGCAGGTGCTTACTCAGGGTTTCTGTTTCCTTTTGGAAATGAGGCACAGCAGAGACTGTGATGTCTTTATGATACATGGTTTATTTACATATATATACAACCTGGGCCTATGATGGAGGGGTTCACAGCATTGACACCCCCAAAGTGTCTTGTTTCTCCCATGGCTGCAGCCTTGGATTCAAATGGAAAGCAAACTTACTCTCTGAATCTCTCTCCCCAGAAAACTCTTGCATTGAGCCCAACCAAAACTATCCAGTTAGCTGCAAATGTTTTCAGCTTCACGGAAAAGGTTTTTGTTTTCAACCACTGCTGGTTTGGAACCACTGCTGATAAAGATTTATGCTGTGCCCAAGATTTCCTGTATTGTTTTATCTCCGCCAACCATTTCTCATCAGTTAAATAGAATCACAGAGAGACACTCTCATTGTTCCAAAATTTGATGTGTGTTTTTTTTTAAAAAAGAACAAAATGTTGAGTTTAAAAAAGAAAAATACTATAAAGCAACAAAGAATATTGGGGTGGAGTTGTCATTGCAGTGGGAATAAAATTAACAGAAGGTTCAATAAACCTTTGCATCATTTTCATTCATTCATGTAGAGCAGGGATGGTGGGAGTTGTAGTGCAAAAACAGCTGGAAAACCAAGTTTGGGAAACCCTGATTTTGAGCATTAGTACCTGGCTCTTCAAGGGACGCGGGTGGTGCTGTGGGTTAAACCACAGAGCCTAGGGCTTGCCGATCAGAAGGTCGGCGGTTCGAATCCCCGCGACGGGGTGAGCTCCCATTGCTCGGTCCCTGCTCCTGCCAACCTAGCAGTTTGAAAGCACGTCAAAGTGCAAGTAGATAAATAGGTAAACGGTGTTTCCGTGTGCTGCTCTGGTTTGCCAGAAGTGGCTTAGTCATGCTGGCCACATGACCTGGAAGCTGTACGCCGGCTCCCTTGGCCAATAAAGCGAGATGAGCGCCACAACCCCAGAGTCGGCCACGACTGGACCTAATGGCCAGGGGTCCCTTTACCTTTACCTTTACCTGGCTCTTCAGCCAAAAAAGCTTCCAGATTGACCTATGTATTCAAAACAAGATGGTCCCTACCTGACTTACAATCTAGAAGAAGAAGAAGAAGAAGAAGAAGAAGAAGAAGAAGAAGAAGAAGAAGAAGAAAACACACAAGGGAAAGGGCACAGGGAGGGAGGGAAGAGCAAAATCAAAATCAGGCACCATTTTATTAATGCTTGTTCCTGTATTGATCAACTGGCACAGTTGAGGGACAGGATGTGCCTGAATAAGCTGGGCCTCAAGAAAAGCTGATGGAATGAGCCTTCTGCTTCCTGTCTCTCCCACTGGCCTGCTGGATTGGCTGCCCCCAGTTGAGAGCTGAGGGCAATAAAAATAGATTCCATGAAATGACATTTTGAATATAAGAGTCACATATCAATCAGATATCCCCATCACCTAGAGGTATGTTTCTTTGGGGGCCTGTGCAATGTGTCATGTTTATTTTTAAAGCATATGAACAGAGAACATGCAACATCAAAATGGTCTTATTTCATAACTCCTCACAGAAGCTTCCTTTCATGGCTTAAATGCTCAGACAAGGCAATATCTTATACTCTCTCAAACCATCTACCCCATGTTTGACAATTTTCAGTCTGGCTGAAGAGCCAACAGCTCCTTGTGAACAAAGATGCTGTCATGTTGTACCAAATAAAGTCAGTGGAACACAGTTGGGATAATGTATGGACCATCTTCTCCACATATTTCATAGAGATTTGTTTTTGTACATTAAGTTCTGCTTTGATGGCCTTCTTGAGATGCCCATCTGTCAGTTCAATCAGATTGGTCACGATTGCAATGCATATTCATTCCAATGAGTAGGATCTTTGAGAGGTGAGGTGAGGTATACATTTCAGTAGGCAGCAGAATCCCAGACTGCCAATGATCCAACTCTATGGCTTTTGCTGGAATGTTAACTGGATGTCTTATTTTTTTATCTATCCCATCAGAACAGTAAGATCAAAAGGATCCATGGGGTGTAACATATATACAAAGCATATTGTGCTAAGTGAGAGAGAAACTAATTCTCACTACGTGGGAGGGTCATCAAACTCGATTGCTAGCTGGCTAGTAATCACCAACAGGGAATGCAACTGTTTACAATAATTGAGGTGTCCCTGATATGACAATAGGTTAGGAAATTGGTGTCTCATCTCCTCCAGGCTATAGAGCTAGAGTATAAAAGGCTCCTCCTTTGGGGAGTCTTTCACACTGATCCTCTTCTGAGACATTTCTCCCTTCAAGAACTGGTGAGTTCCAGGGGTTTTCTTTGGGAGGTTGTCATAGAGAAGCACTCTGTGAACCTTGAGACTGGGGGGATCTCATTTGCTTGTGGTACTGTTGAGGTTTTCCTATGCAACTACCCCATGGTAGTGTAGAATGCATGGTTAAGGAATGCATGGTTAAGGAAACAAGAAAGCCAAATGCGAACCAGAGGCCTCTGTGATTCCTTTACTCAAAAGAAATCCTAGTGGAGAAGAAGCTACAGTGAAGGTACAGTAGGATATTGATGAGATAAAAAACTCTCCTCAAATTCTCAAAGGGTTTCTTCCAGATGTTCCCTCTAAATGTTGTGGACCCAACTGCCATCTTCCTTGTGCATCTGCTATGGTGACTATGGCAGATTGGAATTGGAGTCCAGAACATCTGGAAGGATCTATGTCTATGGCTGTAGAATGAGGTGGGGACATAGGAAGGTGAAAAAAATACATCATTTCAGGATGCAAGTATGAGATCAATTTTTTGATGGTGCCCATGGTGTGTGTGTGTGTGTAAAAGCCTGCATGCACAATACCTGCACTGCAGGAAGAAAGAAGATCTATAGACTTTTTGCTTGATACACTAATGTTCTGTATGCAGGGAGATTTCCTGTAAAAATTAGTACCTCCATGTGAAGTGGCGAACCTCTTCTACCATTTTATCTTTCCAGCATGTGTAGCTCTATCAGAAGGTTGAAACTGCATGAAAAAGTAAATACTAGAGATGCTCACACAAATAAACATATAGATGAACAGCTACTGAGCTGCACCATTGGTCAATCTACAGTAGCTCAGTATTGTCTTCACCTTGTGACCCTCCTGATGTAGTTGGACTCCATTCTCATCAGTCACACCTAATATGACCATTAGTTGAGGATGATGGGAGTTGTGATGCAACAACATCTAGAAGTCATGTCACTGGCTACCTCTGTTCTAGCCCTTGTATATTTGAGCTGCAGAACTGCCAGGGTACAATATACCGGGGCTTCAAAAACCTTGCTTACAAAACATTGAAATATGCAGATACTTAAAACTTTGATTTAATTCTAGTTCCAATCCTATGGTTTCAGATTGCCCTCCAATCCTGCAAAAATGGCCAGTGGTGGTGGATACAACCAGTGCTATGCCCAGTGTCCTGCATCTACAGTGACCATCCAGCCACCACCTTTCGTCCTGAACATCCCAGGGCCTGCACTCTACTGCCCAGACCAGCCTCTAGCCATTGAGCAGTACAACCCCTGTGCCCGAGGTGGCTATGGAGGTGGCTATGGTGGTGCCAGCGCTCTGTATGCCAACGACTTCTCCAACTTCTACACTCGGGCCCTGCCAAGCAGCAACTACAGCTACACCAGCTATCGGTATTAAAACTGTGGGAGAATGAGAACAAACCAGAAGACGTAATAGAGATCCAGAAATGTCATTGTTTACGAAACAATTGAGCTTCCGCTGTGTCTAATTGTTATTTGCAGTTAGAAAAGGGGGGCTAGGCTAGTCCTGTTGGGATACAACATTTGCTATCAGACTTTAATTTCGCCTTGGGAGATTTTCATGGGGAAAGCTGTTTGTGTACAGGAATGCCCTTTGTTTTGCAAAAGTGCCTTTGTGGAATGTGCTGTTTCTTGTCTTTGTTCATATTAAAATATAATTAATATTGCATCTTAACAACTTACTGGCTCATTTCAATTCATACCTGGTAAAGTTGTTGTTGTAATAGGTGTGAACAGCAATGACTCTCATCACAGCCACACCATCCATTGAAAGCACCCTTATACCACTTTCCCAGTTCCACTCAGAGATGCCTAGAATTGAATATTGTGATATTTCACTTGCAAAGCAGGTGCCCTACTAGGAAATTATGTCCTGCCTGTGAAACATGGAAAAGAAATAGATTTCTCTATACATAGGGACACAATGCTCTCCATGATGAATCCTTGATCATGAATTCTAGTACATCAGTGTTCTTGAACTCCAAGTCCCACCAGTCAAAATCAGAATGGCCAATAGTCAGGGTTCAGAGGAGTTGTAGTATAGCAACATCAGGAGAGCAACTGGTTTTCCCCAACCTTGAATGAAGAGTTGAGTCTACATACCACAGATGTGGAACCTGAGCATCCCTCTAGATGTTGTTGGACTACAACTCCCATCAGCCCCAGCCACCATGACCAATAGTCAGGAATGATGGGAGCTGTAGTTCAACAATATACTTTGATTTCAGATCCCATCATCTTCAGCCAATACAGATCAATGGTGGGGTTGAGAAGAGATGTATTACAGCAATATCTGTAGGTCCACTGGTTCCTTGACTTTGTTCTACTCTGACAGTTTGGGGTCTCCAGGATCTATCCTAGTCTTATCTGGGGATCCCCTGAATTGTACTTTGTGGTAATTTGTAATTATCTACCACTGATCTATATGCTTCCCTTGGAACTTGGAGCAGAGATGCATCTCTCCATTCATAGAGACATATTGCACACCGCAAAGAATCCCAGACAGTGAGTTGTAATTCATCAATGTTCTTGGATTCCAAGTCCCTTTAACTCCAGTCAGCAAGGACAATGGTCAAGGATGAGGGGAGTTGTAGTCCTGCAATGCAGGAAGGGCTACTAGATCTGTGCCATTCTACTCTGACAATGAGAGGACCTCCAAGGTCTCAAGCACATGTCTTTCCCTGGATTTCCTTCTTGAAAGGTCCTTTGAAGCTGCAGCCTTTAACTGTGTAGACAGCTTCCTATGTTCTTAGTTGAGAAAGTCCACAGCTCAGTTGTGGTGTGCTTGCTTAGCATGCTGAAGGTGGCCAGGTAGGACTGAGAAAGGATTCTATCTGAAGCCATGGAGAGCCACTGACAGTCAGTATAGATTCCATGCTAGACGGACCTATGCTGTGACTCAGTACAGTGGTACCTCGGGTTACATACGCTTCAGGTTACAGACTCCGCTAACCCAGAAATATTACCTCGGGTTAAGAACTTTGCTTCAGGATGAGAACAGAAATCGTGCAGCAGTGGTGCAGCAGCAGCAGGAGGCCCCATTGGCTAAAGTGGTGCTTCAGGTTAAGAACAGTTTCAGGTTAAGAATGGACCTCCAGAATGAATTAAGTACCTAACCTGAGGTACCACTGTACAAGGATTTAAGCTTGCTTCCCACATTCATAAGGGTAGCTTCCCTTCTATAGTCCCTTGTATCAAATGGTTGTGAGACATTGGTTGGACAAACACTATAAAGAATCCTCAAAAGGTAACCTCTGCTTCATTCTTAACCACACTAAACATGGTCAGTCAAATGGCCATGATAACCACCAAGAAAGACCACAATACAATAACCATGACCAGCCCAGCTTTGAGATGCTGCAAAACAGTTCCTACATATCCCCAGACTGCTGACTAGCTAACCCCACGCTGAAAATTCTAGTAAAGGCATACCTTCCAAGTGTCCTAATTTTCCAGGGACAGTCCTACCAGCTTCTGATTTGATCCCGGAATGTCCCTATTTCCCCCTCCAGAGCTACAGCCGCTGAGCTCAGGGAGGAGGATGAGCTGGTGCTTGTCTTGAGCGGCGGTAGTAGTGGCCGTTGCAAGGGAGCACCCTGTGGCTTCTCTGTGGCCACCACTGCTGGCCTTCCTCCTTGGGCAGCTTGCAGCTGCTGCTGGAGAGCAAGTAAGGAGGAGGAGGCCCAGGCTTGCATGATGAAGCAGCTCTGAGGGGCAGGCAGAGGACAGGGCCATCCTGGGTGGGAAGAAAGGGAGAATGGAGCAAGGAATCTTTATTTTTAATAATAATAATAATAATAATAATAATAATAATAATAATAATAATGCTTTGTGCATCCACATATGTCCGTTTCTAAAATTTCTTTATTAGCGTGTATTTTTTTTCTTTTTTATAAATCTACCAAAGAATGATATGATATGAAACAGCAAGATAAGACTGGATAGAATTATGAACTTTATTTGGACTGATTTGGATATTAACGCAGCAGTAAGAAGATGATCGGAATCCCCCTTCGGAACTTGAAATATGGGTCCCCTCAACAAAAAATTAAAATTCGGCTTTGTAATTCGGAATTTATGTGATGTGATTTGATTTGATTTGATTTGATTGGTCGGTTAATAAAAATTATTTTTTTTAAAAAAAGAATGATATGAAATCAGGATTAATGGGTTTTCCCAGGACTGTGGAGGGTGCGTGTGCTATTGGTGTAGCGATTATGGCACTTGCCCTTCTTCTGATAGGAAATGATCTGTGGTGCAGGGGACAGAAATGTGGGGGTCGAGGAGGGTCAGTTGCAGGGGGAAGTGATAATAATAATGATAATGATAATGATAATGATAATGATAATAATAATAATAATAATAATAATAATAATAATTTATTTATACCCTTAATTCCTCAGCCACTCTGGGCAGCTTCCAACAAAATATTAAAATACAATAGTCTGTTTAACATTAAAATCTTCCCTAAACAGGGCTGCCTTCAGATGTCTCCTAAAAGTCTTATAGTTGTTTTTCTCTTTGACATCTGATGGGAGGGCATTCCACAGGGTGAGTGTCACTACCAAGAAGGCCCTCTGCCTGGTTCCCTGTAACTTGGCTTCTTGCAGTGAGGGAACTGATAGAAGGCCCTCAGCTCTGGACCTCAGTATCCGGGCAGAATGATGGGGGTGGAGGTATACTGGACCAAGGCCATTTAGGGCTTTAAAGATCAGCACCAAAACTTTGAATTGTGCTCGGAAATGTACTGGGAACCAATGTAGATCTTCAAGACCGGTGTTATGTGGTCTCAGCGACTGCTCTCAGTCACCAGTCTAGCTGCTGCATTCTGGATTAGTTGTAGTTTCCGGGTCACCTTCAAAGGTAGCCCCACATAGAGCACATTGCAGTGAAAAGTATCCCTCTTTTCACCTGAGGAATGTTAGAGGGTATGGCAAAAGGTGAGTTTCAGAGGAAAAACAGCCTTCAGAGGTGTGAGGTTGGACAGGACTTTTAAGGCTGCCATTGTCTCCAGTTCCTATTGATATGTCCCGCACAGAAGCTCCATGCTAAGGTTCCTCATGTTCTTGCTGCTATTGACTGAAGTGCCCCGTTGAAGTGTCCTAACTGTTCATAGGGTCTTTCTGTTGGGATACTGCCGGGGAGACGGGGGCATCAGGCAGGCCCGCAGCTGGCTCCAGCCACCGGCCGGCAGCTGGACGATCACCGGTCTCCCTTGGAAACAGCATCAATCAGTGACATGAGCCTCAGATACGTTTAGAGACCTATGCACGATCTATCAGCAGAGCGTGTAAATCTTCTCACAGCAGAAGAGGCGGACAGAGAAATGTGTAAGCATAATGTACAGCATTTTATTCAGCATAGTTCAGGAACAGAGGTAAACATGTCTGCTTCCCTTCATTTCCAGCAAAACAGCAGTAACACAAAAGCTATATACAAACGGAAGTTCCCAGCAGATCTTTGCTGAAAGTAAACAGACATGTGACACACAACAGTCATGCCTGTACCCTTTTAAGGTGGAACGGAACTATAACCTAACACTTTCTTCATCCTTGCATATGGGCTGAGGAAAAAGCTCTACCCCCCCACCTCACACAAATATTTTTTTTAAATAATATTTATTAATTTTAAAGGGTTACAGAAAGATTCTTTTTTTAAAAAAACAGCATATTAAAAAGATACAAAACATCACATCACAATAATAAAAAAGAAAAAAAAGAAAGAAGAAAAAAGAAAAAAAAGAAAAAAATACAAAGAATCTTCCCATAGCTTATCTTTCATTTGCTTATTTCCTTGACCTCCTCACACCTCCCTTTTTTGTATTCTAGTTCAATTAGCTATTTCAGCAAGTCCTTTCCATCTTTTCCAATTTTTGTCCTCTATTTTATCTTAATATAATGTAAATTTACTTTCCCTCCTTCACCATCTAGCAATCTATTTTTTCTTAATCCTTTATAGCATTTCTGCTAAAACCACATTATTTCATTCCAACATCCTTCTAACATTCCTTAATTTTACAATGTTTCTGTAAATAAGCTTTAAATTTCTTCCAATCTTCTTCCACCAACTCTTCTCCCTGGTCTCGGATTCTGCCAGTCATTTCCGCCAGTTCCATGTAGTCCATCACCTTCATCTGCCATTCTTCCCGGGTGGGTAGATCTTGTGTCTTCCAATATTTCGCGATGAGTATTCTTGCTGCTGTTGTGGCATACATAAAAAAAGTTCTATCCTTTTTTGGCACCAGTTGGCCGACCATGCCCAGGAGAAAGGCCTCTGGTTTCTTCAGAAAGGTATATTTAAATACCTTTTTCATTTCATTATAAATCATCTCCCAGAATGTCTTAATCCTTGGGCACGTCCACCAAAGGTGAAAAAATGTGCCTTCAGTCTCTTTACATTTCCAACATTTATTATCAGGCAAGTGATATATTTTTGCAAGCTTGACTGGTGTTATGTACCACCTGTAAATCATTTTCATTAAATTCTCTTTTAAGGCATTACATGCCGTAAACTTCATACCAGTGGTCCATAACTGTTCCCAGTCAGCCATCATAAGATTATGTCCAACATCTTGTGCCCATTTAATCATAGCAGATTTCACCATTTCATCTTGAGTATTCCATTTCAACAGCAAGTTATACATTCTTGACAAATTCTTAGTTTTGGGATCTAACAGTTCTGTTTCCAATTTTGATTTTTCCACCTGGAAACCAATTTTTTTTATCCAAATTATACGCCTCCATTATTTGATAATAATGGAGCCAATCTCGCACTCTATTTTTTAGTTTTTCAAAACTCTGTAATTTTAATCTGTCTCCCTCTTGATCCAAAATTTCCCAATATTTCGGCCAATTGGCCTCCATACTGAGCTTTTTCTGAGCCTTCGCTTCCATTGGTGACAGCCACCTTGGGGTTTTATCTTCAAGCAAGTCCTTATATCTTATCCAGACATTAAACAGTGCTTTTCTGACAATATGGTTTTTAAACGCTTTATGTGCTTTAACTTTATCATACCACAAATATGCATGCCACCCAAATACGTTGTTAAAACCTTCTAGGTCCAATACGTCAGTATTTTCAAGAAGCAGCCATTCTCTCAGCCAGCAAAACGCGGCCGATTCATAATAAAGTTTAAAGTCTGGCAGGGCAAATCCACCTCTTTCTTTAGCATCGGTTAATATCTTAAATTTTATTTGAGGCTTCTTGCCCTGCCAGACAAATCTAGAAATATCTCTCTGCCACTTCTTGAAACAATCCATTTTATCCAAAATTTGCAATGTTTGGAACAGAAACAGCATCCTTGGCAATACATTCATTTTTATCGCAGCAATTTGGCCTAGCAGTGCCCACCTCACACAAATATGACCTAACCCAATTGTCCCAATTATTTCCTATTCACTTTTAGGGCATCACCCATAAACTGAATCCATCTTCCTCCCTTTTGAAGATAATCTGGCATCCTTAATCCTTTCTAAAGTGATACTTAACTAACTTGCTTAGGAAAGCTTCCAATAAATGTGGGAACTTGTTCTGCTACATTTTGGGAGGGGATGTGAAGGGATAATGTCTCCAAATATAACCCCCCTTGCTTTCATTTCAAGATGGATCTGGGTGTTTTGAGGGGTGAGGGGAGTGGGGTAACAACAATGATCTAATGGACTGCAGTCTTTTGATCTATCTGAAGAAAAAGATTTCTGCATTCTTTTTAATCTTCTCCTGCCAAGGTTAAATATAAACAAGGTCACAATATATTCTGCGCACATTTTGTCTGGACTTTTTAAAAATTAAAAGTCATTATTGCATAGAGCCAAGCCAAGACTATTCACAGTTTTGTGTGAACATTTTCAGCAGAGCAGGAACGAAAACTTACATCTCCATTTCCAAATATTGATCAACACTGCTTGAAAAATAATACCATTTCCCTCAGTTGCCCTCAATTTCCTTTTGTCAAAAGGGGTATGATTCCAAAAGGGTATGATTCTGTTGAGTCTACCCAAAACTATTCAGTGACCTGCTAATAATTTCACCTGCACTGGAAAAGGAATTTGTTGTCTTTGATTTTTCGTCACTGCCCATGAAAATTAATGCTGTGTCAAAAAATCACTTCCTTTCCCCACCTCCACTCATCCATTCACCATTATGTCTTGGGGGCAAATAAAATAAAATTATACAGTCGGCATAAAGTATGCACCAAGTTCAGAAAAGTTTGCCATATGATCTACTTTAGAGCTACTGTTTGAGCACCTGTAAATTAAATCAGATAGGCATTTACATGGAATAGGGTCTTATCTGTGGGGGCACCTCGCAAGAGAACCTATGGAGGTCCATCTCAGCTGTGATTAGAGGAGGCCCCTTGCTTGTTAATTCCAAACAGGCCTTGAAGACTCACTATGTTGTTACAGTATTTGGGGATTAATAAGCAAACCTGGAAATACAGAAAGGTCTAGCGTCAGTGCAGTACAGTGGTTAAGTGTGTCTGACAAGGACCTGTGAGACCCATGCTTAAATTGTCACTCAGCCATGAAACTCACCTTGAGCCAGTCATTGCCTTTCAGCCTATCCTACCTCATAGGGTTGTTGTGGGCATTAAATGAGGAGGCAGAGAACTATATGTGCCACTTTAAGCACCTTGGAGGAAAAGGTGAGATATAAATGATATTATGGTTGTCTCCAAAAACGTCCTCAGAGTAGGAGTAGGTCCGTTGAAATCAATAACCATGCCTAGCACAATTTGATTTGGTTTATTTCCATTGGTCTGCTCTGCAAAGGACTGAGCAAGAGGCAATTCATTCATTCCACTATGCACTGGAATGTCATGCTGTCGCGGTGACCCAACACCAAGTTTTTCATTGGTGTGTCAACTGGAAACATTGTTCATTGATTTATCCCTATAGAGACATAATATTTAAACAATCTATAGGGTGTAACGTATATAGCAACCACACCACATTGACCCAAGTAGAATCTGTCACTACCTGGGAGGGTCTTCTTTTCTCGCCTTACTCGCCGACTTGTAATCATCAACAGGGAGGGGTAACTATCTACAATCAGTTGAGGCATCTTCCATATGACAACGGATTAGGAAACTCTCTATGGGTGTGTCTCAGCTCCTCCAGGCTATGGAGCCAACAGTATAAAAAGCTCATCCTTTAGGTAATCTATCAGATCAATCCTCTGCTTGTCCCTGCGAGAACTGGTGAGTACTAGGGGCTTTCTATGGGAGGGCATCGTAGAGGAGCACTATGAATCTTAAAAATGGAGGCATTTCATATGATTGGAGATTGACTTCTTTGTTTTGCATCCATGAATGGTTAAAAATACAAAAAAGCTGGACGTTGAGCATGAGGTCTTTGTGATTCCTTTGTTTCTTAGTAAAGTGTTAGCGGAGATGCAGCTAACATGACTGTAAGAAAGCTGAAAAATGAAATCCGATTTCCCAAAGGTTTTCTTACAGATATTCTCTCCAGATGTTGCAGACCCAACTGCCATATTCCCTCTCCATTATCTATAGTGGCTAGGGTTAGTTGGAACTGGAGTCCAAAACATCTGGAAGGAACCATCTCTATGGCTGTAGAATGAGTGGGGCACATAGGAATTCGAAACATAGGCAGTTTCAGGGCACAAGTAGGGGATCAAATGTTCTTCCCCTATGAAGCAGCCTTTCATTGTTTCCATTTCATTCACAAGTCACTTTAGAGGGTCTTGAGCTATGGTTTCAGAATGAGGTAAGGACAACAAGGTCAAATGATAGACAGTACCATTTCAGGGTGCAAGTCAGGAATTGTATTTTTTCCAGTGTTCCCCTATACAACACCCAATATGAAGAAGACTAGCACTACAGGGAGAAAGAAGCTCTACAAACTTTACCCATGATGCACTAATAGTATCTCCAGCTGAAGTGGCGACTCTATTCTACTATCTCAGTTTTCTACCATGTGTTTTCTACCATATGACTATCTAGTTGTAGCTGGACTCCAGTTCCTATCCACCCCAGCCGGCATAAGCAATAGTCAAAGATGGTGGGAGTTGTGTTTCAGCAACAGCTGGAGGACACCTCATTTTCTACTCCTATTCTAGCTCTTGTAATATGGGTGGGGAACTGTTGACTCACAGCCTGGATGCAATCAGTCATGCTTCCTCATCTGGCCCACAGGACACTGAAATCTGCAAAGGGCTTAATACATTGCTTTCATTCTAGATCCAATTCTGTTGTTTCAGAACACCCTCCAATCCTGCAAAAATGGCCAGTGGTGGTAGATACGACCAGTGCTATGCCCAGTGTCCTGCATCTACAGTGACCATCCAGCCACCACCTTTCGTCCTAACCATCCCAGGACCTGCCATCTACTGCCCAGACCAGCCTCTAGCCATTGAGCAGTACAACCCCTGTGCCCGAGGTGGCTATGGAGGTGGCTATGGTGGTGCCAGCGCTCTGTATGCTAGCGACTTCTCCAACTTCTCCTCTCGGGCCCTGCCAAGCAGCACCTACAGCTACAGCAGCTATCGGTATTAACACACTCAGAGAGAATGAGAACAAAGCAAGAATATGATCCAGTGATCCAGAAATGTCATTGTTTACCAATTGGTTGATCTTCCACAGTAGCCATATATCTTAAGGCCTAAAATGAGGACACTCAACATGCCTATCTGATGTTGCACTTCTGTCTACTTCTATGTGTATGCTGACAAGTCAACAGTACTCAGGTCATTTTGCGTGAAGTATGTAATATATTCACCTAATATTTGATCCTTATTTGCTATCTGGGATCTGCCATTTGCTAACAGCCTTTAATTTTGCTGTCAGAGGATTTCATGGGGAAAACTGTTTGTCATCAGGAATGCAGTTTGTTTCGCAAATGTGCCTTTGTAGAATGTGCTCCTTCTTGTCTTTGTTCATAATAAAATATTATTAATATTGCATGTCAACAACATCTTGGCTCCTTTCAATTCACAGCTAGCAAAACAACCATAGTGATGGGTGCAGGTGGAGGAAAGGCTTTTATAGTACACACTGGATTCTGGTCACAACCTCAGCACACATTGAAAGCACTGTCATACCACTTTGATAGCAATGACATCCCAGAAAGAATCTGGAAGCTGTGGCTTCTTATGTGTGCTGACCTCTCAGACCTACTACACTAGTGGCCAAAATTGTGGAAACCTTTTGGTGAAAGTGTATTTTTGAGGTTTGATGGCTCATAACATGACTTTTTTTTTTAGGAATAATACCATAAAATTATCTTCTAATTTCTTCATAACTGTAGCCTTGTTCACTTAATAGTACTATTTTACATCCCTTTCTGGGTGACCAGTCACCTCTTTGGACAATTTCTTTAATTTTATTACGCTTTACAAGCTCACTAAATGAAAGAACAAAAAGCAAAACAAAAAACCCAACCAGCTTGATAGCAATCATATCACACACTGACAAATGTCCTCCTTATTTATGTTGTAATAAATAATCCTTCATAAAAGTTATTGCATTACATTCTTCATTAAATTATCTCTCCATTGATATATAATTTTATGGTATTACTCAAAAAGAAAAAAGAAAAAGTGGTGTTATGAGCCATCATTGGCAAAACAAGATGATACCTGAATGGCTCTCTAAACACTCCTTTTTCTGGTTATTTGGCCATAACCTTTGACAGAATACAGATAATGCCAGAAGAGTTTGACGTCATTATTTAGTGAAGCGTTCAGTAACAGGGAGTTTTGTTCAAACTGCCTTTTTTTTATAGCTAGTAGGGCATTGTACTCTTTTTAAATTTTGAAAGAAGTTGGAGGTAGATAATTTAGGCTGATGTTTCTATATAGGCCAAATAAGAGTCCCTTAAAGCTTTCTTCTCTGAGACTTTGGAATGCAGAAAATAAAATAAAAAACCAAAGAGGAAGCCATCAAATCTAGCACATGAGGAGGCCATTTTAACTAACCTGTATAATTCAGTATAATTTTTTTAAATTTTTTTAATAATTGTATTAATTCAGGCTTCCTCAAACTCGGCCCTCCAAATGTCTTGAGACTACAATTCCCATCATTCCTGACCACTGGTCCTGCTAGCTAGGGATCATGGTAGTTGTAGGCCAAAAACATCTGGAGGGCCGAGTTTGAGGAAGCCTGTATTAATTGGATAAAATTGGCATTGTTATAATAAGGCTGTTATTGGAATGATATCGGAAAATCAATGGAGCCCTAAACTAGTGCCCTCTAAATTGTCTGGACTACATCTCCTGTCAGTGACAGCCAATAGGTCTAATGCAGAGTGTTTATAGTAGCTTGATGCATTTATTTATTCCATCACATTTATATCCCACCTTTCTTTCATCCTGAAAACCAAAGTAGAAGGCATATCCCAACCTATCAGGGATCACTTATTATGGGGATGTGCCTTTATGGGGATGTAAAACATAGACGTGGAGCCAATTTTCTTTCAGAGGGTGTTGGACTCCACTTCCCATCAGCCCCAGCTAGCATGCTCAATGGTCAGAGATGATAAGAGTTGCCATTCAGTAATATCTGGAGGGCCATTGGTTCCCCATCCCTGATTTGATATGAAGTGAGTTTCATGTATAGCTCACCTTTCCTTCAAGGAGCTTGAGGTGGCATGCACAGTTCTATCCCTCTTCATTTTATTTTCACAACAATCCAGTGAGGTTGGCTTGGTTGAGAGAGAATGGTTGCCCATCCCTGCACTGACCAGACCCAGACCTGCTTAGTTTCAGGAAGGTGATGACCTTGCGTCCCTTCACAGCATACCCTACACCCACATGAGACATGAAGGCACCGTCTTAGTGGGTCAACTTGAGATATTAGAGAAAAATGAATATATAGCACAGGAGGGTTGCCCTAGGGGAAAATTGGGGTTATCTAAGCCATATTTTTTGCCTCATCTATGACATAATGGATAGTGAAACTCATTTTTTAAAAACCCACTCAAAAGTCATAGCAGGTTATTGCATTGCATCAAAGCATGACAAAGAGTCCCATGGCCTACAGAAAGTTGTAAGTAGTCGCTTGATGTTGACACACCAAAATTTCAATGCCTTTCACAACTGTAGGCTGTCAAAGCAAAACTCAAAGCCAATTCCTGTCAGCAGGCTCCAACAACTGAAGAATCAAAAGTAGCTTGATAAGACCCTCAAACGTTATTTTGGTGTGTGTGGTGTCTCTGCAAATCTTACCCAATGAAAGGACTGTACACATTACCTGAAATAGAACTCTCACTCAGCCTGTAGCCACCTCTCAACTGCCCTGCCTTCTTCAGTACAACCAGTCAGGGGGTAACCAATCAGATTCCTCCTCCTGGGAGCCAGTGTGGTGTAGTGGTTAAGAGCGATAGTCTTGTAATCTGGTGAATTAGGTTCGCGTCTCTGCTCCTCCACATGCAGCTGCTGGGTGACCTTGGGCTAGTCACACTTCTCTGAAGTCTCTCAGCCTCACTCACCTCACAGAGTGTTTGTTGTGGGGGAGGAAGGGAAAGGAGAATGTTAGCCACTTTGAGACTCCTTAGAGTAGTGATAAAGCAGGATATCAAATCCAAACTCTTCTCCTTAGTCTTTGTGTTGCCCCTTGTCGAACTCAACGAAGAGGAGGAGAATGTGGACAAAACTATAATTCTTTTGCTCCAGCCACCCTCAGCTCTGGCTCCACCTACTGTCAACCTCCCTGCCTTTCATCCTACTGCTCGCGATGGTTACCAACCTCCACTGATGGTACTGTATCACCTCACCTCATGCACCTCTTAAACTCTTTCAGAATATCCCTGCACAGCTTGCAAGGAACAGATGGGGGGCCAGACCCAATGCAGATCATTCTAGCCATCTGCAATTCAACACATTTTACTTAACTGGGGCAGCATGGCAGCAAATTCCATACAGTCCAATTCCACAGCGTTGCAGTGAAATCCTGGTAGGAGGAAACATCGCAACAGAGTGAATGACACGCTTCCGCGCCATGCAAATCTTGGTCAAGATATTGGTCTGGGATGGAACCCTGTAATTGTCTCTCCTCATGTGGTGCTTTGTGGTGATTTCTTGCCACATTCTTCAGCAGTTGTAGCACTTTATGCCAGAATGCTTCACCCTAAGCAAAAAGGATGGGGGAGAAATTCAATCCAGTTTGCATTTAAAGGGAAACTTACCTAATTTGCACAGACCCAAACCCAACAATTTTGCAATGAGGTTTCCATCCAAGTAATGTGTGCAAAAAATCACATGAGTGTGTATATAAATACACATGTTTATTTTATATACCTTTCTTTTATTTTTATTTGATCAATGCATTTCAAAACTATATAAAGGTAATAAATGAAAATGAAAAGCTTCCCCTTCCCTCTCTGAGATAAGAGATGAAGTCTGCACATAGATCTGAAGTCCGCATCAGAGATCCAAGTTTCAGGAATACATAGAATACAACACAAAAAATAGTCAAACAAACTATTAATGATGATGATGATTAAATAATAATAATAATTTTGTATACCACCCTTCAAGTGAAGATCACAGGGTGGTTCACAACATAAAAATGCAAAATTATTTTGGTTTTTCCTTTCCATTTTGCTCTTGCTGTCTAATGCAATCCTTTTGTTCACACATATTTGTAATTTCTATTGTTTTCCCTTAATTAATTATTTTGATCACTGCCATGTAAACACTGTCATATAGACAAACTATTTTTTAAACAACAATAAAACCCTAACAAGTTTTTACACAATAAATTTATGCAATATGTCCATTTCAGGCACATGTTGTACACCTTTTTTATGAGGAGTTCCAATAAAATAAAATAAATCAAAACCACCCCATCCTTTTGTAGTAAAAAAATGGAGAGGAGGCACAAAATGTGTTTAAAATGCTTTTAACAGGACAGAGTGGGATGCAAGAAGGTCAGAGAGGAACAGATGAATGACTGAAGACCAGCAAGAATGGGATGGGATGGAATTAGCTGCTCAGCCCATCCCTAATTAGCTTCCTTACTTCCTGGTGCTTCCTTGTTATAATTGTGAAACAGCTCTGGCATGCAAAGATGTTCTTCTAGGGCAGCCTCTGCCAACGTGGCACTTTCATTGATGACTGGAGTTTGTCGTTCAAAACATCTGGAAAGCACCAGGCTGCAAAAGAAGCCAAACTTCCTGAGAATCACTGAACATTATGTGCTTTTGTGGATATTTGAAAACAAGAATTTTAAGGACATACCGTGAGATAATTACAATGATTGGCAATGATCTGGAACATTATGTATACTCAAATAATGGGCTGTATCCAACTGCATTATACTCACAATAGGCCCACTGAAATGAATGGACCTAAGTTAGTCATAGCTATTAATGACAATGGGTCTACTCTGAGTGCAACTAGCACTGATCCAACCCCTACAGTGCCATCACTGCTCCAGATGCCCTTCCTGTGCATTCTGGTTGTTTATGAACAATGCAATGCAAGATTTAAACATCTAGGATCACGTTTCATTTTCATGAACTACATTGTTGTTGTTTAGTCATTTAGTCATGTCCGACTCTTCGTGACCCCATGGACCAGAGCATGCCAAGCACTCCTGTCTTCCACTGCCTCCCACAGTTTGGTCAAACTCATGCTGGTAGCTTCAAGAACACTGTCCAACCATCTTGTCCTCTGTCGTCCCCTTCTCCTTGTGCCCTCCATCTTTCCCCACATCAGGGTCGTTTCCAGGGAGTCTTCTCTTCTCATGAGGTGGCCAAAATACTGGAGCCTCAGCTTCACGATCTGTCCTTCCAGTGAGCACTCAGGGCTGATTTCCTTAAGAATGGATAGGTTTGATCTTCTTGCAGTCCATGGGACTCTCAAGAGTCTCCTCCAGCACCATAATTCAAAAGCATAAATTCTTCGGCGATCAGCCTTC